TGCCTCCTGACCCTTCTGTGACCTCCAGGTCCAGGGCCCACAGTAGCCGTGGGCCACGGGTCAGGAGCCTGAGTAAGTTAGACATGCTTGCTAGCTGGTCTAACTCTTTCCAGGACTGCAGATGGGGACACCAGTCCTATCCCCAGGTCCTCATCCAGAAGAAGGAAGTGTAGTGAGGGTAAGGAGGGAGGGAACACCTTAGGTAGGAGGGATATGGCTACTCTCTGCTGCCCCAGGGAGAGAATAAGAGTGTGAAAATCCTCAGAATTAAAATGCTTCCAGGAAAAAACTCTAAATTCCAAGAACTGGCAATTTGATTGGATGTTACATAAAGCTTCAGGGCTGACCAAGAGATTAGATTCAGGGCAGGGATGAGAGAGGTCTGGGCGTTTTAGCAACATGGCTCACTCAAGTCAAAGAGCTGGGGTTTGACTCCTGACTACAGTTTGCCAGTGTGGCATCCTGGAATAATTAATCATAATAATAATTCTAAATTAATAATAATAATAGTCCTGGAACATTTAGACTCTTTGTACTTCAGATTCCTCATTTATATATTAGAGATAATAAAATTACCTACCTTACATCGTTGTTACAAATAATAAGTGAGATAAAAATATAAAACCCAGAGTAGGCACTGAGTAAATGCTACCAATAAGTTAGGATTGGCCTATGGAGTCAGCAATCACCCATACACTGAAATATGCACACTGAATTCCAGACACTCTCAAGTTATTTGTAAATCATCATTTAGAAATTTTACCAGAAAGAAAGCCACCAGCCCACTTTTTAACCATACACAGCATGAAAAGACAGAAAGTCATTCAATTAGCATATATGCCTCACTGCTGTGAATAAACAGGGGTGCTGCATATGTCTGAACACCGTTTTATATCCATCCATCCACCTTCTTTAGAAATAGTAAAAGAATGAGAAGAAATTATGAGATCTCAGTTGGTGATAAAACTCAGGTCTCAGGCTAAGTCACTGCTCTGAAAATGCTGAACAAATATCTGAAAAAAGATATACATTTTTAAGAGGATAATAACAAAGTGTCCCCACTTGATGCAGCTCTATTTTAAGAAACACCTACTTCTTCAATTAATTTTTCACCAGGTTGAATTCATTTCAGTGATTATTGAGAAATTCATTTTCAATTCATTATTGAGAATTCATTTCAGTGATTATTGAGAGATTTCCGGGTAGACAACATTGTACTAAGTGCTAAAAGCCACTGAGACACAAAAAGGACATTGACTCCCTTTGTGTGGCAGGAGACAAAGATGTTTTTAATTTTGATAGGTTATCATTGTATACAAAGATTTCTATTGCTTTTGTTGTTTTAAGCATAATAGATTAAACTTTATTTTACAGATTATACAGATTACACTTTATTTACATGTGGTAAACATAACATTTTATATATGACAAATACATTAAACACAGAGAACTTATTTATCATGACTACAGCCTGTGTGCTTAACCAATCAGACAAGATTATTTGTCATTCCCCAACTGTACTCAGTAAAGGCCTGCCCTCATATCTTTCTAACGTAGCTACCTCTGGTCGGAAGGCCCTCTTTCCACAGGCTCAACTCGCAGCCTTCAATGTCCAGCTCAACCACCATCTGCTCCATAATCTGCTTTTCCACCCTCCCCTCCCAACTCCTGTGCCACCTAGAAATAAACTCTTTCTTCTGTATTCACGTAGCACCTAGTTTGTTCCTACTTTATATCACTTTGCACATTCAAGTTTACCAAGATAACTGTTTTCAAGCCTTGTGTTTCTTCTTATTTGGGGGAGTGACTGGGTTTTGTTCATCTCTATATCTCCCTTAACAACTAACTCATCGCCCACGTTACAGTAACTACGAAACGCTTGCAAAACAAATGTAAAGTTCAGCTTTTTGAAACATGGTCACAAATGAACACCTTAATAATTTTACAACAATGAAGATAAAGATAGCTTAAGATCGAAGGATAACTCTACTGACCCTTGTTATTTTCTGGAACTTGTTTGCCGAGGAGTTTATTTAAGCTTTTGGGCAAAATGGGAAAGCATGATTACAGTCAGATTATATCTCTGACTTTGTCGTGTAATTAATGTACAACTTTAGGCATTTAGTACAAAATAACTACCAAGGGACTAGAAGCGTTCAAATAGTTCACAAATATTTATAAATCGATGAATGAGTGAATGAATAGTGAACATTTCATTTATATAAATTATACCATGTGTAATACTTAATAACAATCCAATACATGGATATTATCTGAAGTTCATTTTCTTATCAATCCAATGAGTAGTTAGGACTCCATTTGCTTCTAAGTCATGCCCGTTAAGATGGAGTGATGTGTGGTCCTGTCACAAGCCGAATCCTAAGGGAGGGAAGAGCCACCTCAAGGTAATCCTACCAGCAGGAAGACAGCAAGGCAGTCACACACAGACAAATACAATGACCATCTCGTAGAAAAGGGAAGGCAACTCAGAATGCTGAGGGTGCTTCTCCACTCCCTACCCCCAATTCCCCAAGTTCTAAGGAATCTGGATCTACAAGGAAAACTGAAAGATTTTACTAAAACTATGAAAGACATTGAAAATATGTCAGAACTGCTTTGGCACCCACTAGCCAAAATGCAACACCATAGGTCCCACTGGGCTCCACTCCTGCATGGAGCACAGCGAGACTTCAGTAAAAGGAGGGCTCCCAAGGATAAGTGGTAATACCTGCTGACAATGACCTCATAGGAGGGGGGTGGGTGGGAATCAGGCGGCTGGGTAGCCTGGGAGAAGAACCTGAAGCAGATGGCTGCCCCCTTCATGCATCTTTGCACGCAGCACAGCCTTTACAATGGACAGACATTACCCAAGATGAGGCGGGCTAAAGAAAAGAAACAGTGGATGACACGGTACTTGGCCAGCTAATAGTCCTTGCTCACAAGCATACGAGAGAGTACTTAAGGACTCTGGCAAAATAACTGGAGAGGATCATGCAGGGGGTCAGAAGCCCTGCTATACAATACAGAGGGTAACACTCAGCAAAATGCAGGTGCTTGCTGTTAACACAACCCCATGTGCAACCTCTAGGCTTCTGGGGCCTTCTAAAAACATGGTTTTCATGTGTTACATAGACCACTGTGAATCTAAATAGCTGACACAGAGGCCAAAGATCTTAAAGCAATTTGGAGACATTCATATAGTAAATTCCCTTCATCTACCGAAGGAAATATGAGCATCTCTGAGACAGAGCAGCTGCTTAATGGTTACTGAGCAATATTACACAACAGCTTTACACCAGGAAGCAAAGAACAACTTAGCATTTATGTGATGCTGTATTTACACTACATGTATGCTTTTTTAAAAATAAAATTGAGTAGGAAATAAAGACCTCTGCAAACTGAAAATTCTCAAAGGCAATATCAAATTATATTATTTTACTGTTTTTATTTTTCTCTAACAAAAGCAACAATAAATCACTACTCAGAAGTTAATATAGTGTTTAACCTCCTTTACAAACAATAACAGAGGGATGCAATGGCATATCTAACTGTTAATATCTCAAATTATAATCAGCACCATTTAAATGTTAAACAACATTTACACAGAAAATCCAAAGGAAGACTGATAATGGCTCATTTTTATGGTCTACTGTGTTCTATTCTTGAAATTAAAAAAAACCACAGAAAGCAGTTATTAAATTCATGAAAGCTGTCTTCAAGTATTTGAAGGACTGTTAATGTAGATGGTGGATTAGACTTATTCTGCATAGTTCCAGGAACTGTTTTTTTGGCTCAGTAAACAGATTTGTCATCCAATAAGAAAAGTCCTAGAAAGGAATGTGAGACCTTGCAAAGGTAATAATAACCAACACATGCCAAGCTACTGCACTAAGATCTTAGAAAGCATGAATGCACATCATGCCCACAATTATCCTCAAGTTGTTACCATTTTACAGAATGAGGAACCCTGTGTCTACAAATATAGGGGGTTTCTCAGTGGATGTAAAGACCCCTCCATTGGATTTAAGAATTCTCACTTTGGGTAGGAAGTTGGATAAGAGCACTTCAAAAGCCCACTGCAACTCTCAGATTCCACTTTCGTACACGGCTGTTTTCCTGTTAGTTTTCTTGCATTGCTCAATTTGGAGAAAGAAGAGAACACTCGGTATCTCACAGGCATGCTCCAGCCCTAGGATTCCAATTGTTCACTTCCTT